TTAAGCGTGTGTTATATGAGATTTCAAATTAAATGTCAAATTTCGAACTCGTTGCTAATCTTGTTTTGGAGTTAAAACACTGAAACAGATATTTTTAATACAACACACTTTTTCAGAGATACGACCCACTGCTGATAAAAAATAACTCAGACCATACCAAAAAGTTATTATTGGATTAAGACATTTAAGGGTATCGTATATTGTTTTATACAAGCAAAATCATGAACAAAATCTAACAAAATCTGCTATTTATATTAAAAGAATATTCAATATACTAAATTGGTCAGGAACGAATTTTACCCATTACGTAGGAAATGTGCGATACTCTATGACAGATATTCATAATCTTCAAATAAAAATCGTAATACATGTGGTGCAACAAAATATTGCGTTTATAAATTAATTAAAACTAAGACTCGTGCAAGTTTTATAAAATTTAATCATAAATAATTAACACTAGTCAATGTATCAATATTACTAGATACATAAAAGGAACCACGTATAAGCATTTCACTGTCTGTCCATTTGTAATTAACCTACATTCACATAAGCAACTTACGAATTCTCACTTAATAATATCGAAGAAAAAATAAAATCCTCGAATTTTATTCGTACACTGAGAGAGGGCTGAGGTCCTTTATATAACACGGAGGATCCGACTCAAAAAAGCCCCCATCTCCAAAATCTTAGTTATTACGCCCATGTGTAATTGTGTACTGAAATTGTACACAGCAAAAAAAAGCATACTGAATTTGTACACAGCAGTGTAAAAAAATACGCACATATAAACGAACAAATTATACATATATTTATTATAAATGAGTATAGGCCGGATTACAAAATGTACATTGAGCTTAGACTCAAAACACATATAAGAAAAAAACATATTTAGTCTAAGACCATAAATCGCAATTGTTACTAATTGCACTAATGGTAATCCACAGTTGGCTATAGGCAAAATGTTTCATATTTCATGTAAATTTTTAAATTTACTCTTTAGAATATCAAATTCATTATACACGCAAAAAGATTTAAAATTATTATTTTAATATACGTGTGGAACTCGATCAACGGCCTCAAATCGCCCGAATTCAAAGACAACTACAGAAATGCAATAAATTATATAATGATCGTAAATGTTTTTTTTTAATAGTGATATTATGGGTAGATAACTATTTATTTTTTGCGGCAACAAGAAAGCCTTTATTTAATTTACGTCCATGCGTCATGTACCCTTTTGTACGCATAAACAGATACGATTATTTTTGATTGTTTTTTTTTTTAATAATTGTCGATTTTTTTTTAAAGATAGAATCTTTTCAACACACACGTTTTATTTTCAAGGAATTAAAAAGTCTCTTTTAGTCACTGCTAACATTTGCAGTTATTAGGTAGTATTTTTTACATTACATTAAATGCTTTTTCCTTCAAGTCTTATACGTGTATTGGAACTGAAAATAACAACAATTTAAGTTTTATGCAACTCTTTTATCAAAAACATTTTGTTTATTTTTAAATTGAAATTGGCAATTGATATATTTATGTTTTAAAATAACGTGTTATGAAGATGACAAAAGAATGTGAAAATTATATAAATTAGATTGATTAGGCATAATAATTAATCTTCCAAGTAGCTCGTTCTTTAATTCTTACATTAGTTTTATTGACGGGCCTGTTGGTCTAAGTCGGAGGTCGTGGGTTTGATTCCCACCCAGGACAAATATTGTATAATGAGCACGGTCATTTGTTCTGCGGCGACTCTTTGCGTGTGGCAGTGGCTCTCCGCCTGGGCTGCAGGGTGTGCGAACCACATAGATGCACCTGCGGTTCCATGGTGGGGGCCGATGGTCTTCATGCACTGAGTTGTCGTCGCTGCGCAGGTAGATTTTCGCGACACCATGCCCTAAATGACATAGTCCGAAGGGCTCTTATATCCGCCAATGTACCCTGCGTGCTGGAGCCATCGGGTCTTAGCAGATCTGACGGGAAGCGGCCGGATGGCTTGACTTTGGTGCCGTGGAAAAACGGCAAGTGCTTGGTATGGGACGCCACATGCGTTAGCACAGTCGCGGCCTCACATCTGAGTCGCACCGTCCAAGCCCCGGCGGCGGCGGCGGAGGATGCCGCTAGTAGGAAGCGATCAAAATACGCCGCAATGGAGACGCACTATTATTTTGTGCCTATTGCGGTGGAGACTTTGGGCAGTTGGGGGTCGGAAGCTAAAAAGTTAATTGCGGAGATTGGTCGCCGAGTTAGGGAAAAAAGTGGTGACTCCCGCTCCGGCTCGTTTCTGGTGCAAAGAATGTCCGTTGCAATTCAGCGAGGCAATGCTGCCAGTATCATGGGCACCTTTGCACCGGGAGCGACGCGGGGCGGGTTATATGATCTGACTTAAAAAAAAAAGAAAAACATAATTGTAACTTAAATGTATGTACTTTGAATAATAAAATTAATTATATAATTTATCATTTGTTCTGAGTCTGGGTGTAATTTATCTATATGTATGTATTTATAAATATATAAGTATGTTTATCAGCAGGCTCTGCTTAGTTTGGGATCAGACGGCCGTGTGTAAGATGTGTGATATATTATTATTATTATTCATTTATCTCACTTTATTATTTAACAAGTTAACAAAAACCTACAACACTTTTTTACTATTTTTATTTATTAAGGGCTTTATCGTTGTGAAACCCCCACGAGCCACTACATCACCGGACCCAACGGTGAAGTTGTATGTCAGACCCAAACAACCTAAAACCACACGAAATTCTGTCTTAAGTGGATCGTGATTAACGCAAGGGATTCAGGTATACCCTAAGAAGGAAAGCATAGAATACCGAGGGTCTACTGACACCTATATTTTTTAAGTTTAACTTATATATAGCCATATATTATGATGATTTTTCGTTTTACAGTTTAAAACATTTTTTTAATTGAGACGCCTTCTGATATATAAACAGGTGTAAACATCAAAGGAGTTGCCTTTGTATTTTTATTGTGGAATGTATAAACAAAATAGATGTGTGTGTGTAATGTGATATTCATACTGTAACTGTTTTTAAAAAAAGAACAAGCAAAAGATTCGAAGATTATTTCGTGCCCCAGTTAATTATCAAAAGACTTACAACCTGTTGTTTATAATTAATACTATTATTCAGTAATAATATAGTGTGTGATACCTAAATGGACAATATATTTTTATTTGTATTTTTTATTGCTAAAAAAAGATACCCATACAATTATTTTTGAAATTTATTATAATTTAATAGTGAAATTTAATCATCAAAAATTGGCGCTTTTAAGATTCCCTCGCAAATTTCTAAAACGCAACGCTATTGGTTGAATAAAACTTGACGTCAACCTACACTGTCAAGAGTGTCAACAAGTTGTGTGTATTTGTAGTATTTGGTTTCTGATTATTCGTTTCATTTTAAGTTAATAACTAATACGTTTTCAGTGTTAAATTATTAATTTCCCCTGTAGAAAGACTCAACACAATGACTGCTTATACTTTGTCAGGTGCAGTTTTGATATTATTTGGGCACAAAGGAACGGCACAATATTTATTATAAGTTTTTATTGGCTTTTCCATGGTAATAAGTTAATTTTTATCACTCACTTTTTTAACTTTCAGAAACTTTGTGAACTTCACTCCGTTGTTGACATCGGATTCGTCTGAAAGTGTAATCTGACGTCACAAAAAAAGCGCGCCAAAATGGACGTGTTCAAATTGCCCCAAAATTATAGTGTTTTTTTTTTTTTTTGCTTAACGGTTTATATTTCGGATGTGTTATATTTATTTTTAGTAATGTAATAACTAGTAGAATCGTTTGAAAAAAAAACATGCATATTCCCCATTGCAAGCGTCTTTGCTCTGTTCAATATTATAGAACAACAAAAAATATTTGACAACTACGATTGCACCTATGGCACAATCGTAAAAGTGGTTGCTTTGCCTTGCGTCGAGAGTCTAGGCGTTCTTTGCGTTCAAAGGTATAATAATAGTTACATTAATTCGAAAGACCTCAATTTTTTTACAACGAATACTAAACACGGTGAAGATCTGCTGTCTAAAAGGTCTTCGTTATTATGATCTTGAAGTACTGCAGTATATTTGTTTTTGTAGCCATCTTTGTAAACTTTTGCGATATCATCAACAACATTGAACCAAGTGTGACTACAGCTTTACTTATAGGATTTTGTAAATTACAAATAAACACTGTCTGTCTGACTGTAAGTAAGGCGATCTCACTAAGCCATTTTCTTGATAGAATACCTTTCTTTTGCCTAATCGTGGTCAATGCTATGTATTTTTTTATGGAAGAGGGGGCAAACGAGCATCGTCATGTGACCCACCTGATGGAAAGTGACTACGACTAAATACAATAATTAAAAATTGATGAACTGGTTTATGGACACTGTATAAACAACTTATCTGTAACAATATAATAAACAAAAGATACTTTTTATACACATAAAGCGCAGTTCTTGAGATTTTTTTTAAACTACATCAGTCGCAAACCAGCACACGGCTTGCCTGATGGTAAGCATTCATCATAGTCTATAAACGGTTGTAATTTGGGACTCGTATGCGCGATTGGGACTCGATTCTTTAAAACGCAGTACACACCTTTCTTAAAAACAAGCAGTAATTACAATAACGGATAACTGCTACAGCTGTCCTGAACAGCTAGTCCTGTATATTGATGTCGAACCATTATCAACCAACGATGACATAATTTGGTAAAACAATCTAATAGTTAAAAAATGAAATGAAAAATGGTGTTCGCTAATATAAATTCAGAATTCTAGTACAAGCAATACTTTTGATGTACCACATCACCAATAATCCTTGAACAAAATCAGGACTAGAACCCAACTTACACTTTTTAACTTCACGTAGTACACATTACCGGACGAAATTCGGTTAGTCCTTTGATTTGTACTTACAACAACACGTACATGATTTAATAACAATTGTACTATATTGCTGTACTCTATAAGTCCTTCTGTCGCGGCTCGTACAACGGCACGTGTTTGTACTCTGGGAATGGGTACAGGACTAGGTGGTCCGCTGTCTTGTACCACGGGATTAAACCATTCTGGAAAAAAAAGTATTTTCATTTTTTTTTAATATAACAGTTATTAGTTGCTAAAATAATTTATCCATTATGCAGTGCAACACAGGTAATCATTTTATGCGCAGTCGTGGTCTAGCAGGTATTTCTAAAAAGGTCATAAATTTTTTGATGACCTTTTTAGAAATCGGTTTTCTTTATCTGAGAACGATTACCTTCCTTATGTGGGTTAACGTAAGGCAGAAAGAAACCAGACCAAGCTCTTTGCAATATTACAGATTACGTAACCCCCAAATAACAATTGAAAAGCGCGGCAAGATACTAAAATTTACTAAAAAAGAAAAAGATTTACTAAAATCTCGAATGTTGTTTCATATTTTAAATAAACAATATAAAATCATTTCAATTTTATAGCATTGACTTTAGTGACTATTTCTGTGTGATTGTATAAATTATTAGTTATTTGTAATTTATGTAAATAATTTAATGTATTGTTTTATATAATGATGCCCACTGGACTGTATATCTGATTCAATGTAGTATGGCATTGGTTGTGAGACTGTTAGCTTATAATGTTACCTTAATAAATAGCTCTAAAGATTTCCATTAAGATGCCAAAGACATAGTTAAAATAAAGATGTAAGTTGTGTACTGTTATTAAAACAAATAGTTATAATAATAATAATAATAACCTCACACATCTCACACACGGCCGTCTGATCCCAAACTAGGCAGAGCCTGTACTATGGTAACCAGACTGCTGATAAACATACTTATATAGTTTTAAATACATACATATTATAGATAAATTACACCCAGACACAGAACAAATGACCGTGCTCATCACACAATATTTGTCCTGGGTGGGAATCGAACCCACGACCTCCCGGCTTAGCAGTCAGGGCCACTAACCACTAGACCAACAGGCCGGTCTAGTTAACTAGTTAACAATAGCATAATACATACCACATTGGTTCTCTTGTTGGTACCACGACCGTAACCATTCCAATGATTACCCGCGATACCAATCATGTCTCCGACCTGAAATACAATTAACTAATTACTTATAAAATACATATTTTTAATCTGTGTGGTGACGGAGTGTAACCACCCCTGTTCATCCCATGAGTGTCGTGAGAGCCGACTGATGCAGCAAACTACGCATAACAACAGCACGGCAAACTTGAAACAAAGTTAATACCAACCCGTCTAGCCAGTGTGGTATAGTAGGCCAAAACCTCCTGTCTAAGGAGAGACCTATGTCCAGCTATGGACTATTAAAGACTGTTGATAATGAATATCATTATCAATAGTCTTTAATAGTCCATAGCTGGACATAGGTCTACGTATTAACGTACTAACGCATTGTAAACACAGTTAATCTATTACACGTATCACGAAATTATCCTTTCGTTGCGTAGCTTTAAGTAATTCACAGTCGAGACGATCTTTAATTCATTATTTTTCTTTGTTTTAATATTAAAATGTTAATCAAAACACTAAAAAATATATATAAACAGCTTTTGCCCGCGGCTCCGTCCGTGTACGAGGGGTGATCAATAAGTAATGATAATCGAGTATTTCTAGAACGCACAAAAACCCAAATTATTTTTTTTCTGCTTGCTTATATATCCACTACTTCAGCTTCAAAAAAATGTATAAATAGGACACCATGACCGGGAGATACATTCATTTGAATACGAACTGTCGAAGAGAAAACATCAAAATGGAGAAAAATGAAATAAGAGCTGTCATCAAGTACCTCTGCCTGAAAAAAATGTCTACCAAAGACATACACAGCGACTTAGAGGAAACATTGGGGGAGTCTGCTCCTCCATATTCCACAGTCGCACGCTGGGAAAAGGAATTTAAGCTGGGCAGAACCTCCACTGAAGATGAACATCGCGAGGGACGCCCTTCCACGTCCCTTACTGGAGAAAACGTCAAAAAAGTGAAAGATATCGTGTTGGCCGATCGAAGGGTGACCGTAAGGCATGTAGCTGAGGTCACAGGGATCTCCTATGGCAGCGTTCAAAAAATCATTGTCAACAAAATGCATATGAAAAAGGTCTCTGCGCGTTGGGTACCGAGAATGTTAACCGACGAGCAAAAAAAGAAACGAGTCGACATTTCGAGGGTGAATCTTCAAAAGTTCCAGGCCGATAAAGAATTTTTTTTGACGCGTTTTGTGACCATGGACGATACCTGGATCCACCACTTTGATCCCGAAACCAAACAACAATCAATGACTTGGAAACGAGCTTCCTCACCAACGCCGAAGAAATTCAAAGTGTCAAGTTCAGCGGGAAAGGTTATGGCGTCTGTTTTCTGGGATGCAGAAGGAATTATTATGGTGGAATATTTGGAAAAGGGGGCCACTATAACAGGCTCTTACTACGCAGGCCAAATAAGAAGATTGTGAGAAGCTATTAAGTCAAAAAGACGCGGTAAACTGCGCGCTGGAGTGCTGTTTCACCAAGACAACGCCCCGGCTCACAAAGCCGCAGTTGCGATGGCTGCCATTGAAGAAACGGGGTTCGAACTGCTCGAACACCCTCCCTATTCGCCAGATCTAGCTCCCAGTGACTTCTACCTCATTCCTCGGCTCAAAGAACACCTCCGGGGCAACAAATTTGAGGACAATAGTGAAGTGATGGCCGCAGTAGAGGCATTTTGGGAGGGTCAAGACAAAGAATTTTTTTCTAAGGGAATCATGGGCTTAGAAAAAAGATACACTAAATGTATTAACTTGCAAGGAGATTATGTTGAAAAATAAAATACTTTTTTTAATCTAATAGTTCTGTTTCATATTGATTATCATTACTTATTGATCACCCCTCGTATGTCGGTTATAGCAGTAAAGTTAGCCTACGTTACTCGGTGATAATGTAGCTTTCCATTGGTTCAAGAATTTATAAAATCGGTTTAGTGGTAAACAACACATTTATAATACATCGATAAGCGGTATGCAAACAATACGTACGAGGAAGACCACATCCTGGTTGGTCCCTGCGTTGTCCATGACGGCGACCCGGTCGTGCGCGTTCTGCCCCCCGAAGTAGTAGATGTCGTCCAGGGAGAAGAAACTGTCAGATGCGTCCACTCGGTTCGCCTGCATCATCTCGTATGCTACACGACCCACCTGGCATGTATACAAAACGTATATAAAATACACAATTTTTTTTTTAAATATTTTGACACAACACAGATAGAATACTTTTGTACTTTTTTATCTGTATGCGACTGTTGTGCTGAGCTCTCGGGTTCGATTCACGGGTCGGACCAAATGTTTGTATGATCTGCAAATATTTGTTTTGGAGTTTGGGTGTTTTCTATGTATAATATGTATATATTTACAAAACAGAAAAAGTGTATGAGTATTCTTTCTTTTCTGCTTAGTTTGAAACTAGATGGCGTTGTGTGTCAGATGTCTGAAATATAAATATAAAACATCCTTACCTGACTACTAAATGTGCATACGAGGTAATCACACATAGACAGCATGTGTAGATCCACTAACAGTCCGGTGAGCGACAGCGGGGTGTACCTGCGATGTGTCGCTGCCGTTTTTGCTATGGACGCGTCACCGAGGAATGTGTAGTCAGGGTACTTGGCGCGTGCGTCTTCTAAAACCTATAAAACAATGCAATGAATATATTTAATTTCTAATTGAGATGAGATTGTATACATCGCTGTTGCAAATACTCAATGCACACACAGAACTCAGGTAATGATGTCATAATAAAAAAAAACGGCGTGAGTGTCTATGGACCCCCGATCGGAATGAAGTTCCTTTCGCTTTTTGGTAGACGTTTTTTGCTATACAGTCATTATAATTTATATTTTAAACTATCAAGGTACTAATTAAATAAAAAAAAATATGATAGGATATATTGATTATATAAAAAATAAATAATGGTAAATTAAACACTGAATGATTTGAGACAAAAAGTGTCGGAAAAAACACTTCTTACATATTTTAGGTCTTGCTCCCATCCGCCCAGTGTGTAACGCGCGATAAGGAACTTAGTTCTATAAGTTCAAAAAAAACATTTTATCGTAAAGATGCGTGGGGGGGGGGCTAGATCTCAATTGTTGTAAAAATATTTTATTAACTGAACTGAAACTACGTTGAAAAAAGCACCCCACGCTTTTTTTACAATAAATTGATTTTTCTTTTAGAACTTACAGAAAATTATTTTCTACTTTTTAGTTCGGCTAGTTACAAAAGCTTGTTCTTTAGTTTTTTTTAACTATTTTTTTTTTGCTTTTTTAGTCACTAATGATGATTTTCTTTAATTAAACTAAAAAGTAACAAGTGGGTAAGTCACATGCTTCAACACCCCTCTTTTAGTACATAGCAAAAGACACTACCGTATTTTTAGGTATGGAAAACCCATTAATCTTGAAGATCCTGATTAGGATAATTGGCCAAATTCATCAAATTATTGTATTGTCGGTCCTTGATAAGTGTGCGAAGTTTCAAATCAATTAGACGTATTGAAGTGAGTTTGCTTTGAAAGATTCCTTTACATAGATACATACATACAGGTAAAGCTAATAAAAGCGTGTTAAAATCATATCATATCAGTTAGAAAACATAATTTCTAAATATCCATAAAAGTAAAAAAAATAACAGCATACATTAGCGTCATCCGTAGCTAAGTAGACCCTTCTCACGGCGTCAGTGGATCTGCTCATGTCCAGTTGGTCGTAGTAGTCTTTGACGTGCGCCATGTACTCCTGTATGTGGTGGAAAGCAGCTTCTGTCCCTACTTTGTCGGTGCGTCGAATGTGGACACTGCAATTAGACATACATACTTAATAATTAGATATATATGTATATATTTACTCTATGGAAAAATAAATATGTTTGGATGTCATTTCATTTAGTAATTACAAATTAGTTTCAAAACCATTGAATAAATGAACGACAAAAAATGCTTGAAAAATAATAAAATCTTGAAAAATACGTTGTCTAAGAAAAACCGGTAACAAAATATATTCTGTTATGAAACCGGTGTATGTTGTTCACTTATGTGAAGACATGTGGACACAGTTATATTAAACTTCATTATTCTTATAGATATCATTTTATTGGATAGTTCTCAACTTAGGATGCTCAACCTCAAAGCTGTTCCCGGACTGCTCCTATTCAAATCGCAGCATGACGGCCCGACGCAGTTTCACACGCACAGAAAGAATATCATTAAAAAGAGGCTTTACCTATTGCAATGCGAAACATTCCATATCTCACTCAAGCCACCTTGTTATAAATAAAACCTATTTTTATAAGATCCTTTGGCTCACATTTTGATATTTTCAAATTTAGGGTCACGATTTAGGGTCTAGTCTGCAATCTTAGTAGTAAAATTTAACATAAAAACAAACTGCGCAGAACCGTTACAATAAGGTACTAAAAAGTTTCACAGCCGAGTTTATGATTAATAAATAATGCATAATGAAATCGATTAATTTTACAGCTTATTGCGCCGACACGTATAACAATAATTTATTGCCAATTATTTTTATTGGCTAATTAAACTTTAGAAACTTATGTATGCATTAAATTCTCTTTATATTTTACTATGATGTTAAGTGACCTATTTCTTAGCATTTTGTGGATCATATGAAGTAACTCAGGAAACAAAATCCAATATTTTCTAGTAAGCCTCTCCTATGTTTGAACAGCATTCATCAGTGGCTACGACGCATGTTACAAGGATCACCTGAAGTCCCGATGAGGACATTTCCCATTTAGAATAACAGTACTACAACTCTTCTTTCCATAGTAATCATCAACATTTTCCTGTAATTGTCTAAATTAAATTTGGAGTCGACATTGTTAAAGGATTTTGTTGACGGGGTGAAAATCACTTCAGATCTCCGGCTCCTTGGGGACACAGGAGCCTAGAATATGTGGTGTTTCCACTAAGAAACCGGCCTCCGTCGCCCCGATCTGGGGAAGACCATGTGATTTCAGGTCCCCTCGAATCGACGACGCACCAGGCCCTATCCCGGGGTTAATAATTGGCAAAGATTAATTGGGATAAAGCAATGGATAAGTCTAGGGGCCTTTTTTTTCGTGTGGAACCCCCCTCAGGCTGTCACTGATCAAGGGTCTGATGCAGAAGGCAGTTCTCCTTGCCACGGCGCGTATAGTGAGGAGGTTCCTGTCTTTGGAGTCCTAACCACCGGTGTATTGGTCCCTGTACCCGATATCGGTGGTCTACTATTTTTTGTATTTTTAAATGTATTATTTTTCTTTTGTAATATATTTAAAAAGGTAATCAATATATGTTAATAATGTCATAAAGACAACTGATATAAATACATATTTACTTTTTTTTATATGATTGTTTATATGATTGATTTATATGATTGATTTGTTCTGGGTGTTTCTATGTATAATAGAACACCAAGAACAAATCAAACATTGAATGTACAATATTGTACATGCGCACAAATATTTGACTTAAGTGGGAATTGAACCCGCGAGCTTTGGCGTAGCAGTCCGTTACACAAACCACTACGCCATTGCTGTTTTATATGAGGCCGAGCCGGCCCCTAAATCAGGATAGGGTTATCAACCAAGCCAATATAAGTAATGTAATCGTTACATAGTGGCTATGCTATATTAATGCGCTGTCAAAGGTAGGTTATGTTGCCACTTACCCAACTATAGGCGTCTTGAAATTCATCTTAGCTATAGTATCATTGATAGCTTTTTGCATGGCGGTCTTCGGTTTTAGTATATATTTAAGCATCTGCCCTATCCACCAGGACGCTGGGTCGCCGTTGAAACGGACTATCCTATAAACATATTAACAAGGTTTTAGGTAACAGGGCAATATTCCTTAAGTACTGAATAGTCAAAAGTAAAAATAAAACATATCATCACATCATCAACAGCCTTTAATAGTCCACTGCTGGACCTAAGCCTCTCCTTAGAAAGGAGGTTTTGCCTTCCTATACCACGCTGGCCAGACGGAACAGGGGTGATGACACTTGGTTATCTTAATCCGTCACCACACGAAACAAAATTTTAAACGTTTAAAATGGTAAATACAAAAGACTTCACTCACCTATGCGCTAAATCCTTCGGTATAGCGAGCGGTAGAAACTTGGGCCTTTGTGCCATCGAGTCTATGAACGGGAGGGAGATCACTTTTGCGTCGTACGTCACTGAAAATTCATAATGAACTAAACTAAAATAAGACAACGCTCACTTTATCTTAAGAACAATATTAAATAGAAGAAGAAGAATTAATTAAGTACGAAGTAGCATTCCTTAAGTAAGAAAGAATGAAAGGAAGGAAAACAAAGAAAACCGTAAGTATTGCCTTTGGCTCAAATACGCTGATGATACCCATGACATGAAAATTCGATTGGGAATGAGAAGAAAATATCATCTGTTCACCCATTTTCGAGTAACTGGGAACTGGGTAATGATTAACTTTTAAAAAACATGAGATGTACATAAAATGAAAAAAAAAAAACACCCTGCTCAATACTACTTGCTTAAGTTGCAAAATCTTGGAAGACCCAAAACACAAACCGCAAGTTTTGTGACCATAATAGATTTTTATATATTTACGTGGTATAAAATGAAGTTCCCTTTTTTTCTTGTACGCTTTGATCTTTCAAACTACGCAACGGATTTTAATACGGTTTCCACCTTTTTTTTTTCGTGCGGAAATCCCCTCCGATACCACCTATCGGTGGCATGTCGGACACGAACCGACTAAAACCGCACGCCGTCTCGGGTACTAATAGGCAGGGAACCAGGTATACCCTAGAAAGACTACGGTTTCCACCTATATATTTATAACAAAAATAATGGGTAATTTACGAAGACTTTTTGGAACAAAACAGTATTAATCCTTATCTAAATAAATTCTTTAGATACATTGTGAGTTTAATTTAGATCGAAATTGCCTTTTATAGAATATCACTAATAGTATAATTAATTACTCCACACTGACACCAAATTAGTGGCATTAGTAGTATCTACATTGCACACGTACAAAGCCTGGGCGGAACACTAGTACATAAATAAAATGTATGAATTAATAGGCTGAATAAGTTATGATATTTGGGTACATTTACAATAGTAATATTTAAACACCAATGAACAAATAAATACCAAACGCAAAATAAACCCACGTCATGCCCGAAATAGAAATTCGTAGAAAAAATGTAGCAATTCTTTTATTTCCCTCAAAAAGTTCATAATTTTTGAACGATAGAGAAGGCTCGTTAGACGTTATAATAAAATCTAATTTTCACCGTTAAGCAATTGAGCTTCTTCAGAAAGATTCGTTTCAAAGTATTCGTTTGATTTTCTCCAGTGATCGAGTGTTGTTAACTCATCATAAGCTGTTTAAAAATAATTTTATTTATAAATTCGTTTTTATCAGTTACCGCTTAAGCGCATGGTAATAATTAAAGGAGATTTACTTTAAAACCATTTTCATCTTTCGCTAAAAATTCATAAAGATCAATTTCGATTGCGCGTTAACACTACTAAAATGAATATGTATGAGAGCAGAATCATGGGTCTAATTACTATGGCTTACTATACTATACTTTTTACAGTGTCTGCCGCAATTAGGTACGTCTTGCAAAGTGGCAAATATATCCTTTTAAGTCTCATATAGCTCAGAGAGAGCGAGACAGAGTATCCCAATCATAATGTGTGTGTCTCAATTCTCAGTTGGAAAAACTATCATGTGATTTACAGATAAAGGACAACACAACCTAATCCCCTAATATTTAAATAAAAATATTTTTATACATTCCGCTTTGAAATTTATAAAAAGACAAATTACTAGTTAGTTAAACAAACGTCAGTGCCAAAGTATAAATGCCAATATAGGAAAAGCCGCCAAAATACGAATGTGCAAGTGAACATATTTATCCACTATACCATCCGTGCAATCAAAAGTTAAATACGATAACACCTGTTACGTTTAGCTGAACTATTGATATTGCTATGTAGGACCTGTATTTAGTCTGTCGGTGTGTTCATTACGCTCAAAAAGATTCTTTATCATACCAAGTTTAAATTTAATGTCTTGTTTCCTTCTACTAATAAACTTGATTATTAATAAGTGTTTAGACATAAGCTTTCACTTATAACAATAATAATTATAGCTTGTTTGTAACGGTAAACGGTACGGTAGGAAACTGTCTCTAAAATACCTGCAAACAGAGTTCTATGTGCTTTAAGCTTTATGTATATAATGCTGATTGAGCTAGCGTAGTAGAGAATTAACTATACTCTCAGAAACTAATAGTTTTATGCTGTTAGTGCCTACTAATATTATAAACCGAGCAAGTAAGCTTGTTTATATGTTATGTTTTCACACCTAAACTACTTTTCCAACTATCATTCGATTTAAATAAGTACACGTTATCAGCACGGAATCTTTTCTGAACTATGAGAATTACACAATTAATAAAAAGCGTATTGTGTGTTCTGGTTTACACACTGTTAAAAGCTATATTAATACAAGCGAGGTTGCAGGCAAGATCTAGTGAATTATAAAAGATAGTTACCTGGCCATTGGACAGCTTTATCATCAAAAGCGCTAACACAGGTATCCGATATTGGGTGGAAGACGTACTCCCATCCTTTGTTATTGTACCGCCATCCCTTGGAGTTTAAGATCAGAGTTCTTTCTGACGCGTAGGCGAAGATTAGACAGTACACAATATGGTGGAGTTGACATCCGAAGCCGCAGCCCTGAGAAAGAAAAATTATTATTTACCAAGGATGTGTATTAAAATAAATAATAAATAAATAAAATAAAATAATACATATACGAGTATCATAAAGATACTCTTATAGTGTTATTGTGATGACTCCGTCAACAAAACCCTACAGAGCTTCCGTACTTTAAACTTAAAGTGGATCTATTAGCGCTTATATCTCTATGCTTGCCCCAATTAGGACCAAATTAAGATTTACACACTAAAGATCTTTAAAACGCCACTGGTTACTCAAAGAGCCTTTACTAGTTCAAAGGGATGCGACGGTCTTATGACTATTGAGCTGCTCTATAGGCGGCGGTAATCACTTACCATCAGGTAAACAGACTGTACGTTTGCCCACCTATACCATTAAAAAAGACACCTACGTTTAAGTGATTGCGTAGATTCGAAGTTGATTAAGTCCATGTGATTAAGCCGACCCCAACCTAGTTTGGGATAAAGGCTCAGAGAAAGTCGACTTCTCCTAAATACGTCATAACAACCATACGTTTGTTTTAAATATCATTATCAAAATTTAATTTTATAATAAGATTATGCAATAGATGGGTTTTTTACGGTCGCGATATGATAAATTTCTGTGAGCGGCTTGGTGGCTTCTAGTGGCTTGATAACAAAGGTCAATAGTTTGTGAGTATCTACTGTAAAAAAAAACGAAATCATGTTTTAAATATCAGTATAAAAATCGTCTGTTTTATACTATTCGCAGCGTAGTTGAGTAACATGCTTTATATATGATAAAACTCTTGTAAAATTTAAGAGTTTTCTATCTATCTATCTCTCAAGTTAATAAATATTTTGATAGATCTAAAAGGTATAAGGTCTTCACTATTAACGATAACCACATAAGATCCTAAAACATAGTACCGATCAGAAAACCGCAAGCAATTCTATAGTTGGTTTTCACCGAGAATGAGGCAATCGGTGGTCCAATCCGCCTCTCCTTACAAATTCATCACTCATAGTCACTCCGACGACCCTTCTGCTCGCTTACCCCCTATTAGATAAAAGAAAACGGCGTGATAGGTCTATGGACCCCCGGTCGGAACGAAGTTTTGGTAGACGTTTGCTATATATGTATATCTAATTTGAAACAGATGTGAGCGTCGACGCGCCAACCGAAGTGTCAGAAAAAAGTCTTGTTACCCATTTTTCGGTCTCGTCCCCATCTGCTCAGAGAGTGTAACGAGCGATAATGAAATTCGTTCCAAAAAGAGCTTATGTAACAAGCTCTTTTTGATAGGCATCGTGCTAAAAACTACATTTCATACAAACCTTTTTTATGTTTACGGATAGGCGACCCAAGTCTATTCCACCTACTCAGTCTAGTCTCAGTCCGTCCGCTCCCCATCCGAATCATACGCCATCCCTTACCCTAAATTTGCTTTAACGCCATTCAGTTTCTTGAAATATCCCGTCTGGAAATGATTATTTTCCCAAGGAGGGTTGGCGTCAGGCATGTGGCCGGCCAGGCGTCAGCCTGTGCAATGTCACACTTGACTCTAACCCCAAACAGAATTGGAAGAAGAGCAAGAAGATGATGATAAAACAAAAAAATTGCAAACTTTCAACAACTGAATAATGTATTTCATATCATGATTATTGCTAAGTACGTATATACTGATAGAAACATAACAAATCAGTCATACGTACACAGTGGCAATGCCACACGTTAATAGCATGCCCATAATAAATTTTCCAAATCGGTAGTTCCGTTTAGTGGTACAGTGTAAAAGTAAACAAACACGAGGTGTGACATCACGCGGTCGTCAACCCAATGACGTGTCAGAGACGGATGGGAGCCGCTGGGTCTGTTTGCGAGCTAATTATAACTTTAGGCAGGCGTAGGGCAATACAGGTGTACCCACACTATTGTTATCTATCTTGTCATCTTGTGTAGAGCAGCAGCAGCAGAATTTATAAAGGTTTTTTTAGGGTTACTAACATGATTTAGGTTTTGAGTACATAAGTCTTTTAAAAATGCTTAAGATCTGTTTTTCGGCTAAACCACGGGTGTACCAACCCGTATGTGTACCTTGTAATAGGAAAAGTTTTTTTTTTTTATCAGAACAGAGTATTATAATTTATAACACCTCGAACCTTCACGGAACCACTAAAAGTGTTGAGGCTATGTAACTCTTAAAATTTTATTATGCCTAAAAAAGTACACAGGGCATCTTAAAGTTCAAGTCAAAGTTCAAATGACGTTGAGTTTGCTCAAATTTCGATTCAAAACCAATCAAATACTGCCCACCCCAAATTCAGCTAAACAAACCTATAACTAAACTACAAGCCTTTAAACTAAGCAAACCCAGTTCACTACTATATCAGCGAACAAAAAAAATTAAGCAAACTCAATGTCATTTGAAATACTAATACTCTGGTTTCTGGGAAAGAAACTTTGTCAAATTTTGTTGGCCTGTGTTATCAAAGTAAGTAAGTGCGACTGTTATAAACTATGATTCAATTTTTTTATTTTTCACTTAAAATGTAGGAAGTGTGTGCGATAAAAGTTTTGTGATAATTCAAATTCGATAAAAGGTTGTAAAATATTTATACACCGTTGCTACATAAAAACATACCGCAGCGTTCTACAGTGTAGACTCGTCTTAAATGTAACAGCAAAATAATGTTATAGCAGGTGCAAGTATATTTAACACATTTAGTGATGTGATGACAACGTTGTGAAATATTATGCCTCTGTATTATTCTCATAACAATAGATGCTTAGTAACATTCTAATAATACAATACAAAAATTTGTGCTGTATATATTGTTTGCATGCTTTCATTTTATAATGTCCTACTTTCTCTAAATGTATATTTTTGCCATAGTTTCGTCGAAAACAATACAGATTTTTTGTACAATATCTGTCTGTCTATCTGTTACCTCTTCACGCTTAAACCGCTGAACCGATTCAGATTAAATTTGGAAAAGAAATAGTATGAGTGCCGGGAAAGGACAAAGGATAGTTTATATACCAAAAATTCCTCCTTTAACGGTGTGAGAAGGGGGGTGGTAGTTTGTATGGGGAATCAATAACCGCTGAACCGATTTACATGAAATTTGGTATGCAGATAGTTTAATTTTTGAGAAAAAAAAACACGCACGCACACATACACAAACACACACGCACATACATAACCCTAAATACAAGTACACGATTGATTATGTGCCATTGAAAGTAGTAAACTTGCCAAGGGACCTCGTAGTTATCATAACATATAACCTTAAGTGGGATAAGCACATCACAATGATAACAGAAAAGGTGAACTCATTGCTGTACATGATAAGGAAGGCATTTCACGTTATCACCAAGGTTGCTGGGAGCTGTTTCTTAACATCTACTTAACATACATAAGACCTCTGCTAGAATTGGCTTTCCAAATATGGAATCCATATTTCAAAAGGGACATCCAAATGTTAGGAAAGGTACAAAGAAGGGCAACTAAAATGGTTTTCGCTTTAAAAAAATGTCATACGAATAACGCCTCTTGGAACTCAACTTGCCAACACTGGAACAGAGAAGAATGATAGGAGACCTCATAGAAACCTACAGAATACTCAACCACCATTACAACGTAAGAGATATCGAATTCATGTTCACAATGAACCCGAACACGCAACTAAGAGGTCACGCTATGAAGCTTAGCAAGCATCTGTGCACTAGCAATCCCAGAAATCATTTTTTTCCTAACCGAGTGGTGCATATGTGAAACTCCTTGCCGGAAACTGTGATAAGTGCTCCCATTATTAACAACTTTAAAAAATAGACTCGATAAACATTTAAAACACAAGTTGCTAGTGAAATATGAAATATAATAATGGGCACACCGCTCATGGACACCTGCTTCTTAATACACACTTGTGCGTTGCCGTCCTTTAATTAGCGCAGTGAGCGAATGTGTAAACACCACAGGCCAAGCTGCGCCACGATTCCTTTGGCACACACACTGGCGTTGGCTAGGCTTGGCCCCAGTTGGTCCAATGTGTACTGGGCCCTTAAGAAGTAAGAAGAGTTAGAAGTAATACGAAATTACCTTATTTAAGTTACATATAACTTTTCTCGCTTCTTTACAGTCGGGTGGATTCTGCAGATGCTTCAGACGTCTTTGAATCAAGTCGCTCACGTTGGCTGCTTCAGCTATCCGCCACTCGTGATAACCATCTACCTCTTGGAGTCTTTGTTGATCTGATAGAAGCGATCTGAAAATACAGACTGGATTATTATCGTAGTAAGATTAAATTTCGTGCTGTCGTATATGACAAATTAACTTTTCCTTGTACCAAGCTATTTGTCTATTTGTCATATTGATAACTTGAATACAGTTATTGTCAAAAAAATAGTGTTTTTTTTTCTCTATGTATACTGACCAGGTCGGAACAATAGTGCATAAGGGCTTCGTTGAAACCCAGGCAGTTTACACCATAAGTAATTTTTTTAAGGAAGGTTTATGCATATAAAAACAATTATTTAGGGAACAAAACAAACTTACACGGCTAATAGGCCAAATAACTCGCGCGGGCACTTTAGACGACTCTGCCAACCCTTTCGGTGATAAAGGCGCGAGTGTACGTGTGTAGGTCAAATAAATATTAGTTGAGCGTAAACAATACACCGTGACAGCACAGATAATAAAACATACATAATATGTTTAAACACGCTAATACCCGCATTTATCTTATTAAATATGTATATAAATTACATGCAGGAAAAATCATATTTTATAGCAATATGTAGTAAAATATTAGTGTAGTAGAGGGGCTCGTGTCTAAGTGGTAAGCGAGTAGGTTAACACATTGCCAAGATAAGCAATCCTAGCCAGGTTACTTTATGGATGGGTGATCATTCTTAACACATTGAGACCCCTCTGTGCCTCGGAAAACACGTAAAGCCGTCGGTCCCGGTTGCCATACGAACATCTGATGCAATCGTTACCCGTAGTGGGAGCCAAAAAAGTCCGACAACAGTGTTTCTAAAGAACTTCGATATCGCCTAGAACTAGGGTTGTGGAGATCTATAATCGAAGTTCAGCCGTACCCCAACCTAGTTGGAGAAATGGGCTCGAAGCAAGAAAATGTAGTAAAATATTATTATATTGGTATTTTAAGGCAGTGTTAAGCATTATAATGGTTTGAACTGGATTACAAAATTTTTAGATACTACTTTTTAATATATTAATAATCTAATTTTTTAATGATAAAAAAATGAAAAATAAAGTCGGTGATCCTTTTTAAAAAGTAAATTATGGAGTACTCCTTGTATAGAACTTCGGTAGTTCTAAACATTTACACTGTGACTGTTCACTATCAGATAATAAATTGTTTGCCATCATAGTGGCTCATCATGTTTGTATATATGTGCTAATAACAACCTTGAACATGTCTTTATGAGTCATTGATCTATTTATGTGCATCGTTGTCTGTGGACCAGTCTTAGTTAAATTAAAATCATTTTTTTTTCCTTCTAAACTCGTTTCTTGTTCATTAATTATTATCATTTTATTATACGTAATAACAGTATAATTGCTTAGATTTCATCATCCAATGGTAACGAGTGAAGGCAGTAAGCTTATTGGGAGTCTAACCAACGAATAATAGACTAAGCTATATAATCTATACAAATAAACAAAATTGAAGTGCCTGTTTGCCTGTTGCCGGTTATTTGTACGATTCCTATGCCTAAAAAAACAGGTTTTTTTTGGCTGTCTGTTTGTTCCGAGTAAGTAGTAAGAATAATATATTTATATATATGTATATTGGTAAGTTGCTTTGTGTACGCTTTAAAAATCTAAAAGTTCTGCACCGATGGAAATCGAAATTTGACACGATATACAACCCGCTTTAAAGATTGTTTTTCTGTATTTTTCGCGTCACTTCTGTTCTTCGTTTATCATCAATGCAGCCACTATGAGCCACAGCAAAGAGTAGCACGGTACTGCTAGTAATGAATAAAATCAGTTGTCTACACAATTCGACATCTGTTACACGTGTCATCCTAAAACTAAGCTCATATTGCGTCGTTACACTTCAAAAGAATATTAGTTTCATAAATTTTGTATTCTTAGAAGTGTCCTGTGTCGTAACAACACAAGATAGTTTTATAGTAATGTGTGTCTATATACACGCTTCTGATGCGACACGTCACAATAGTATGGGCCCTTTTTTACGTGTGGAAAATCTCCTCTGACTGTCACCCACAGGGGTTTGGAGCGGTGTGTCGCACCGATTAGAACCATACGCCTTACGACTCAGCGCCTGAATTAGGAGGGATCCGGCAACAGCTGTTATTAAGACATCCGGATCCACAATAGTATAGAACTAGCTTGACATAGCTCTCTTCACCAAGAATACTCTTGCCACTCTACTCTAGCCGGATCACCATACGGTGATCCGGCTACAGCAACAAAACTGACAAGAAATCGTGTTAGCTAATTATAACTTGTTAACCGAATAACCAAAACAACAATGGATGCCGATCTATAAAGACTATATAAAGTCCAACGGCGTCACTCGGGCCCCTAGCATCTCTTCTCCGCTCTGAGCTGACCAGACACCATTTCTTACTTTTTGTGATCCTAAGTATTCACGGTGTTCAGTAGGAACAAGGTGGTGCCCCAATAGGGTTGTTGGCAAACGGTTCCACTGCAGTTTTTCACCATATCCCTCGTCCCAACTCATTACGAGCTAACTGAATTCATTTAAATTAGTCGAGTCACCATTGTGTCAATGCTCAACACCTAACTATAACTGTAAACAGTCTGCTCATCATATCCTCTGGGAATGCAGTCTTTGGTATAATGAACTTAACATAACGCTGCATAGCTTACAGTTGACATCTGGGGCGGTATACTATGGGGATCTTGAGTCACCTAGGGTGAATTTCCGCGCGTTTAGGCGATTCTGCTATACATAATATAGAAATGAAATATAGCTCACTTAGATACAAAAATATATTATGATCGTGGTGGTTCCTTGTTTAAAAAAGGTTTTCAATTTTGCTCAAAAGGCTCAAAAGAGATCGTAGTGTATTGAGATTCATAACTTGATACTAACATAAACTAAGAACCACTGAGTTAATGCGAAACCGTACAATCAGACGTAATGAAAACTGTTTTCCTTTTATCTTTTTTTTAATAACGAGTTTTATATAAGGATACGCCATGTTATCTATAAGGATACGCCTACCCCATTGTACCCTATCATACACGACACAATATTTCTTAATATTTTCAGAATAAAAGGGATTTAAAAAAATATTATTGTTGTGGCAAACTTCCAACAAAGCATACAACCGCATTGCAATTTCCGTCTTTGGATTCGCCAAAGTACTTCGAAGAAGCGCAACATCCAAAATATTCAATTAAGATAGTCTAATTAATAATTCCCTTTCATTCCTGTTCTTGACGCAATCTATCAGCAAATGCAAATGAAAACTTCAAAAGAAATAAGTCTAGGGCGAATATAAAAGAACATAGAGAAAAAAAATAAGTCAACCAACCTTTTTCTATCACTAACTTGATCCAGAATCACTTGTAATCGTTCTTCTTTGTTCTCTTCTTGCATGAACTTCCCTAATTCATGTTCCACATAGTAATACAGTTCTTTCGTATTTGAGTATATTCTTCTTCTGAGATTCTCGTATTCTTCCGTAGGCCCCTGTATCCCGTCGAAGAACAGAGACCCGGTGTCTATGTCCTTGAGGTTTCCATTAAGCCTGGCGAAGAAAGTTGATATCAGGATTATCGTCTATAATTGCAGAGCGGACAAACAACCGTGTGGTGACGGATTAAGAATACAGAGTATCACCACCCCTATTCATCCCATGGGTGTCGTAAGAGGTGACAGCGAACTACGCAGGACAACAGCACTGCAGAGAGAAGGAAAACTTGACACAAACCCTATACCAACCCGTCTGGCCAGCGTGGTATAGTAGGCCAAAACCTCCTTTCTAAGGAGAGGCCTTTGTCCAGCAGTGGACTGTTAAAGGCTGTTGATGTGATGTGATGATATGGACAAACAACATGCGGTTCATAAGCAAGTAATGTAACATACTATTCCTACACATACATCATCACCCTCCAAACCTTTTCCTAAATTATCTTGGGGTTGGCTTTCAGTTTGCTATGACAATATCAAAGTTCTGTAGATAGATAGTTGTCGGACTTTTGTTGGGTTCCAATTACACGTAACGATTGCCACAGATGTTCTTATGCTTCGTGGCCTATTTAGAGGTCAAACAGGATCGCGGAAAATAGAGAAGAGTGGCGATTGCTCCACCGACAAGGGCTTGGCTCTTAAATTGACAGAGAGAGTTCGTATGGCAACCGGGACCGAAGGCTTATCGTGGTCTCCGAGGCACGGAGAAGTCTCAATGTGTTAAGAACAACCATCAATAGACTGAAATAGCTAGGATTGCTTAACTTAGAAATGTGCTTTTGCAGTTGCTTAACTAAAAAACTAAACTAACCTCTTCTCGCCCCTCAAACACATACATATTGATCTATAGTTACATTATTGTTTTACTTAGTATAGTTAGGTAATGTTTTGTTTGCACATTAAACTAATTTTATCTAAAACGCACCTATTTGTATTCATTGTGTCAACCAATGGTTGATTGATATAGAATACCTTAGGCAATAAGTGTAAAATAAAACATGCGCACAAGAGGACACGCAGAAAATGGAGATAATTCACTCAAATGTCAGACTCAATCGCAACGCTAAGAAATCTTGAGCCAGGTGAGTCAGATTTTACACAATACTTCATAATTGCAAGATTGCAACACAGATTCCGTTGCTTACAATGTGTTTACTAAACAATCTCATTCGGATAGCTATGCTAAGATTTTTTATTCTGAATTTTAAAAATTGTTTGTTTTTTAATCGACTTCAAAGAGGAGATGCTCATTTTTTTATGTTAGTTACCTCAAAACTCCGTGATTTATGAACCGATTTTCGTAATATCTGTCATCGCACCTACACACTTTCCTGTTACACACTTTTCGCGAAATTACGCCCACAGTAATGTTCATAAACAGCCTTTAATACTTCACTGCTGGGCATAGGCTTCTCCATAGAAAGGAGGTTTTGACCTACTACACCAAGCTGGCCAGACGGGTTGGCACAGGGTTTGTGTCAAATTTTCCTTCTCTTTGCAGTGCTGTTGTCCTGCGTAGTTTGCTGCCTTAGTCGACTCTTACGACACCATCGGGATGAATAGGGGTGGTGACACTTCGTATTCTTAATCCATCACCACACGAACAATAATGTTACGTATCAATAAATAAAAACTTCACGCACTTACCCGGAAGACTTTTTAACCTGTGCTATGAGATTACTGTGCTGGTGTCTTAAGGACTCCAATTGTGCGGTCACCCTTTTTAATCTCTCCTGGAATTCTAATACCTCATCTTGGTTCCCATTGCATCTGAAAAAAAAAATCGATTACCGTTCTGCATGTATAAAGTAGATAGAATTTAACTACTGATTATTTTTTACTTTGTTATTTAATATATACGGATACACATATATACGGTACTATACTTATACATATATAACAATATGCATATACCCACATAAGTCATTAGATAGTAAGAATGCTAATAATCGATAGTACATAGAAGGGTTGCCAGTGGAAAACTCGGTTATCAATAAGATTAGAAGGTATCAAGTATTAGCAGGTAGAAGGTTCAATTTACCATATCATCTACTGATGTTCCCCAGATTTTTAATATTTAAATAAAAATATTAAAATCAGAGAGCTTAGTGTGAGTTCATTTCACACCAACTCAATCGTCACCGACGGTTCGGCGTTGCAATTGGCCCTCACTTTGGCCTCAGAAATCTTCACCAATCGCAACGAAAAACACGCTCGCCGTCGAGAGCCAGTTATGTTGAAATAAACTAACAATAGGCCTTCAGAATTTGTATATTAATATAAACCCGACCCGTACGTATCACCCCGGCAGGCACGACTTCCGGAGCGGAGACACGCCATGAAGCACCTGACTATAACTTTACAGCGACCCGTACCAGCAACCTCTTTATAATATGGGGTGATAATGCAACAAAGATTATATTAAATTACTTGAAAAAATTACTTGAATAATAAAGCCATGGTTGCGTATATGTTACCCTTCTTACACAAAAAGGACATTTAACTTATTAACAAAGGTGTACAGCGGAAATAATTCCTACTTATTTAGTGAAAAGCATTTGCTGAAAGAAACAACCGCTTCTGGAATTTAGAGGAGGATGATAATTCGAACACTACACATTTAACAACCGACCCGTTGTTTATATAACTATTTAATTAAGTTGGAAGGATTACAAAGAAAACAAGTGAAGTGCAGAAAATTGTGAAATTGTATTATGTACAGTTAAGTTTATCATTTTTAGAAATACATCTCTAAACCTTAGCTAATGATACACCACTATTAATAATAACGATAAAAACATTTATTCTGGTTTCATAGTTATACAGAAGACCAGTCCGAGTCGCCACTACAGGCTCCCGAAGAGGAGAAACATGAGGCTATTTAGAATATCGTTTCACAGCGATCCAGATTATTCCGTACGGGAATACCTCTACGTAAGGCCGTGAGATCGTATTATGGGCGACGCGTACGAGTCTCGTACGGTATACGTGGTCCTCTATTATGTACTATATACAGGAATACTATTATCTAAGCTGTGGTAATATTAATTGGTTATTGACATCATTTCATTAAATATAATGACTATCTATCTTACTTACTCCTCAATATCAAACCTGCAATAAAGATGAAACTTAAATAGAAAAAAAACAAAAATAATTCATAAACATGAAATGGACTTCACTAACGCAAGGATGTAATGTCGCTACAAAATTTATATCACATGTAATAATAAAAAGACGGCGGCGTTCAATTACAAATAGGTACATAAAATTAATATACACCTATTATTTACATAAGTATTTGATCGACGTAAGCGTAAATAAAACATGTTTAAACAGTCACAATTAGTAATTTGTCTAGATTTTTAATCGAATCATGTCAATGGAGTAAAATCTTTTAATGTCCAGGACTGATCTTAAAAGAGATAAAGACGTTCTGCGGAAGAAACATTATGTTAATGACGTACTGCCAAAGAGACATTCTGTAAAAGAAAGTTCTACGAAAGAGACAATGGATGACTGCATTAATGGCGTAGTGGTTTAAGCGGTCGCCAAGCCGCTTAGTACTACGCTGAGTGTTGTGGGTCCGATCCCCACATGGGACGACACTTTGTGTGATCCACAAATTGTTGTTCTGAGTGTAGGTGTTGTTTGTGTCCGTTTCATGTATGTTTATAAACTCCCCCGCGACACAGGATGTGTTCCTACTACCGGGAGTTATCTTTTAAATCAAAACAAGAATAAAAAATATATTATATTATCAGATATTGTAGGTCCATCAGTATGGTTATGCAATTCAGTTGTTTTTGTAAATAAATAAAGAGTTTCTACGAAAGAGGCGTTCTGCAGAAGATACATTACGCCAAAGAGACTTTGGAAGAGAGATTCTCTGAAATATAATAAAGATGAGGCGAAAAGATAATAAATATAATTACGATATACCTACGAGAGAGAAGCAGAATATTACAAACGTATAAAAAATAATCCGGGCCAATTTTCCAGCTTAATATGTAATCTGACAAACCTGAGCAGCCATATCACTAAATAAGTGAAGACAATCGACACGAACAATAAGACAGCTCTCATTTCGCTAGCTACATCATAAAGTAGTTATTGAATGTCGTAAAACTTTGATAATCATTTAAAAACTTTGAAATTAAGTAATATATCTATCTATAATATATCAATAACTTTATCTACCATTATTTCCAGATTTTAGATTAGAGGGTTAGGATTTCGCGGCAACAGCTGGTTCGAATTACAGGTACCTACTCGAGCAATTGATTACACTTCCCCATCCATCCGTATAAACAATATTCCCCTCCTACCCCTGCCATCCCATCTTACAAACAGTTCCGTTCATATTGACCTCCCAATTTTCTAACCTAATTCCTAAAGTACCGGATTGACGGCAACAGGCTTGATCCTGCCAAGGATTCGACTATGCCCCCTGGCCTACCCCTTCGGGGATACAGACAAAGTTATGTTTTTACATTTTTTAAGCATGTAGTGATCATTCTGATAAAATAAAACATTGAATATTGATTAGCGAAAGCAAATATTCCTATAAATTACGAATTGAGTAGATTATTTAGGTTACAGGGACATCACTACAATAGAAACTAGTGTGTCATGAAATCATGTTTGCTGATTATACACGATTGTGGAACATTAACTTTCAATTACGCGCTTTGATAACTACAGTCATCGATTTGATACGCCAAGCGAAACGGTCATAACTATTTTCTTAACGCAGAACAAACGGCTAGATTTAACGGATTTGTTTATGATAATAAGGGGCCAAAGGAGCAGTTGTATCACCTGTTGGTTGGTGTCTACCTCCTCACATCCCAAAAGTCCCAAATGCGTTGCCCGTCCTTAAATGCTTTTCTGTTAAAGGTTTGAAAATCGTATCGATCCGGAAATACCCCAAGCGATAATTTCTTGAACACATTGTCTTGAAAAACATGCAATGGTAAAGTTCTAACTATTCAAGTGATTGCGATAGACGTTTTGTCGCTTTGAACAATGGCGGGAATCTGCAGTCGGGATAAGTCTCGACAATTTCTAGGACCCGTTCCTGCGCTAAGGGGACATGCCGATCTTGGCAATCGACGATTTAAGTTGCTCTTCATTGAATGCGGTTCAAAGATCTAAGCTGGTACTGAGGTGTCCTTGCACATAGATAAGAACAGTATTCGATATGAAGCCATAAAAGTGCAATAATGTCTTGATCTGTATGGTACACCAAACTACTTCAAAGCTTACACTTTAAATGAACACGAAACTGGGCTTAGTAAACTGATATATGACAAAATAAATGAGGAAAAAATAACAACAAAGTATAAAACTGTGGTGCGACTAGTAAGAAAAAAGTGATTTAGTAAGAATGAGTAGGAAAATCTATTAGACAAGAATAGAATACCCAATAAGCCAGATTATAAATAATATGTAATAGTACAAACCTGAGCGGCGATATCACTAAATAAGTGACGACAATCCACACGAACAATAAGACAACAGCGGCGCGCTTCCATTTCGCTAGGTACATCATAAAATAATCATTGAACGTCGTGTAACCATTGGAGTAACGTTTCATTGCCGCATCGTTACACTGCCGCCGTCAGTTTGTCCTGGCCATGCTGCAGTTCTAGAACGAAACAAGAAAAAAATTATTAATAAAATAAAATAATGCACGGACGACGCTTTGGTATAAACTGAGTAAAGAATTTTGTACCCTGCGTAGTACTAAATTAATCAAGATCAAGACCGAACTGTTGGTCCTCCTTAGGGACGGCCTTCGTTCAGCAGTGGACGGCAATAGGCTGATGATGATTATGGCTAAATTAATAGCAATATTGCACATGTTGACAAGTGATAGATATGTGCTTCTTTTTAACAGAGCATAGTGAGAAAGGACCCTTTATAAAAATCCTGGTAAACAGTAGAACTATACACATCAAAGAAGTCTAAGCAATACGCATCATTTACAGAACTGCCAATATTTTATTTTTTTCTTGGCAAAGTAAATTGTATAGATACAATCTTTTTTCTTCTCGGAAACATACAGTGGCTGATTTTAAAATTAGAAACTTTTCGATTGAGTATTGTTTTCGTTAAAATAAAAGCCAATATTTTTTTCCCCGATTTCATGTTGCTTGATAAATTTAGTATTTATCTCACTTTAAGATATACAGTTTTTGAAAAAATTGAGTGGTGAGTCATTTTTATGTCATGGATTGTTATGTCATTTGACTGCTGATGAAATGCAGAGAGCTATAGAAATACTACAAGCGGCAAGAAATCAGTCCCAGGTATTTCGGCGCTTTGGTGTCAATATGAGCGTGATTTGTCGTCTTTGACAGCGTTAGTTCATACAGGGGACCCTGCTGAGCAGCACCCAGGACGTGGAAGGAGTACAACTACTCGACAGGAACGATACATACAACTGACTGGAAGACCTTAGCCGATGTTAACCGCCCGGGAGATAGGTAACTTATCTAAAGCTACAATTCTCAAGTGGTGTTGTTGTTAGCCACCAAACTGTGAGAAATGGGCGAGCCTACAAGCACTACGCCCAATTAGATGCCCACCTATACGCAATCGGAATCGCGCTCGTCGAAACGAATGGTGTAGAGAACACTTTATATGGACCCAGGCGCAATGGGATAAAATTTTATATTGCGATGAGTCCCGGTTTGGATTTAAGTCTGATACGAGAAAGGTAAGAGTGTATCGTCGTCCCGGAAATGCTGAACAGCTGAAATGCGTCAAAGAATTGTATCCTTACAGTGGCTCCACAGTGATGATATCGGCGGTATTATGAACAACAGAAGAACCGAACTCGTTTTTGTAGATGTTAATATGAACTCTCAAAGTTAGGTTGAAGATGTCCTCGGGCCTTATGTTAACCTATTTGCACAGTCTTGGCAGAATTCACGCTGATGCATCGCAATGCACGCACACAGCTAAGAGGGCCGGAGAGTATTTGGCAATGGAAAACATCCGGGTATTGCCGTGGTCAGCACAATTGCCAAACCTCAATCCCATCAAGCACGTATGGGACATGCTCCAAAGACGTGTTCTAGAAAACCTGGACGGGGTGTTGACAACCCAACAACTGTCAGACTTGTTAAAATTCCATTGGGAGCAAATGCCGCAGATCAGATAAACAATCTTATAAATTCATTGAAAAACCGTTGCCGACAAATTTTAAACAACAGAGGCGGGCACACCTTATTTCAATACAAGCAAATAATAATACAAAAATGAAGTTATTTAATTTTGTAAAACATGAAAAGTTTAATTTCGTTTTAACTTTATTTTATACTACGTATGTTACGGTACACATATTGTTTAATATTGTGATTAAATGAACAATCGAATGAAGGTTATTTTGCTTTAGCCCCTAATGCATCAAAGAATAGTTAGTTATTATTTATAAAAGAAATATAAATATATTATAATGTAGTAAAAATTGTTAAAATGTTGAAAACCGTACAAGTTGCTTGGACTTTTCTGATGTGTGTATTTTAAATTATCTTTATAAGATTATGGCATTGTTCTAAAACCCTTCTAAGAATAAATGAATTTTTAATGGACTTCAAAAAGAATATAAAATTACCGTCCGTACTTTGTCCGTGTGGTGACGGATTAAGAATACGGATTGTCACCACCCCCATTCATCCCGTGGGTTTCGCAAGAGCCGACTAAGGGAGCAAACTATGCAGGACAACAAAACTGTAAAGAGAAGGAAAACTTGACACAAACCCTATACCAACCCGTCTGGCCAGCGTGGTACAGTAGGCCAAAACCTCCTTTCTAAGGAGAGGCCTATGTCCAGCAGTGGACTATTAAAGGCTGTTGATGAAAATTACAATTACTAAAATTATAAAATAATGCTCGGACGACACTTTGGTATAAACAGAGTAAATAATAAAGTTTTACACTCTGCACAGTAACGAGTAGCAAGCGAGCATATAACGAGTTCAGAATCATTTGGCGCAATTGCAAAATCGAGCCGATTGACTCGTTACCGTCACTCAACTAAGATTAAAACGCCAATAAAAAAACTGAACGGCAAATGAAATACTGAAAAATTGCTTTGTTACTTTGTTGATTGTAATTAGGTTTTATGATTATTTTTTCTGGTATTGATACGAGCAGACTTGTCGCCTGGTGATAAGTGAATACCGCTGCCGGTGGAGACCTGGATCTCAAGAAACACAACTGCTTTGCCACCCTTTGAGTCATCTTCTCTATTTCTAGATCGATTTCCATAATTCTTTTTTAAGTGAATCGGTTGTATGCAAGGATGGTCCGATTTAGTTTTGTATAAGATAAGATATTCGACCTCGCAGGGTGAAAATTAAGGGATACCAATATTTAAAATAAATATTTAGTTGTGAATCATATTAAATATTGGCATTTATTAGCTTTACCTATAAGTCCTATTTTAGCACTAGATTATCTATATGGGAACTAGGAGAAAAAAATTACAAGTAGGTGTACAATGGATCTAATATCAATTGAACATACAATTGTGTTGATTGAATACGCCAATATCTTACACATATTATATGTCTATGGTGGGGTTTTCGTATTGATAAAATAGTAAAGATTCACTACAACCTTAAAGTTTTATATATTAGTAATATGTAGGTTTATGTATGTATGTAACTAGTTAAGTATTTATGTATGTGTATGTATTTGGTACGTATGTGTATGTATGTATGTATGTATATTTATCACCATCGTACATCTATCGTACATTTCATACTTGTGCATAAAGAATTAAAATAATAATATTAAAACGAAAGTTTTAACTTGATTAAGATAAAGATTGATATGAAATTGTCAAGTTGGGTATAGGCACCCAACTACCTTCCGTATGTCTTTTACAGAAGCCTGTATTTAGCACTGGACATTTCCAAGCTGCGACAATAATTGTCATGACTGTGATGGTGACTTCCACATAAAATAATATACAAATTTCAATGCCAGGAAGACACATCGAACTACAGAGTAACTACTAAACCTTAACCGCGCAATGAAAGTTCTTGCGGCGATGATTACATATACCTATATATTTCCCATCATCAATGGCTGGGCCCACCAGGCATGATCACCTCGTCTGGTTGGAGGATTCTCCCTTCGTGTTTTAGTGACATAACACCCGTTCCTCCCCAATGATATCAAGTTATGAGTTCTGAGAATATGACAACAAAGTAAAAGTATAAACTTAAAGTCCAATGACGACTTTAAGTTTTCCATACAATATTCATGTATATGGTAAAGATCGAATACGCTCATTGAGCGAAAAAACAGCTCACAACGCATATTAATCACAGCAAAACATCCACATCGCGAAATACTGGTTCTCATAAAAATACTCACAACGTGTAGTGGCACTCACAGAAAGACCACTTAGCGAAATTCGTGTCGTGGCTATCATGTCATACGAACACAACGCATTGTGGCAATGGAGAAAAGCCATTTCGCATAAAACCATATTAGATTACGACACACAATTCTTTGCAATATGGGTGCTAATAATCCCGAAACTGTAAGTAGATGTTTAGAAAATATATTGTTATACTTATTATATGTTCTTAAGAAATAATTGAAACTTGTTGTACTTAAAAAAAATAGATTTAATATTTATCGAATGTAATTTACAATGACATGCTCAAGACGTTGACAAAGAAACTATGGCGAATGGATATTACGCAAGCATACAACAATATGGGAAAACAACTCTTTTTTTTAATAAGTAGTGTTATTGTTCTAAAGGTTTTGTCTGTCGAATCGTGGGTAGATTCCCTACCTAAATAGAGCAATTGAAACTTATCGTGTGAGAGCCATGCTACGGCATATTATGGACCAGGCAATTCGTTCGTTGCTTTCACCGAGTGGGTAAGGTTACCGGAGGAGGCGACCCCTCTTGTCCACCCCAACTCCCCAAACTTACCTCTGGTGGAGAGACACTCAAAGGCGGCACCGCGCTTGTCTCTTTGGGATGCCCGATTTTTTGCTTTGAATCGATCTTTTGGATCGTAACCTCGTGAATTATTATATAATTAATCGTATTGCATTGAATCGATGCTAAAGATCGATTCAGATCGGGCATCCCTACTCTTTAGTTGTAAATGTCTATGGGCAGCGTTAGTTACTATCAGGTAACCAGTTTACTCGTTTGCTCTTTATACCATAAAAACCGGCAATGCAATTATTGTGGTTATAATATATTAGGTATACACAGGTACTTGAGATAAATCACGGAATTCACCGAGCACTTAACGAAGGAAATAATAAAGCGATAAACTGAAGTGTTTACTTATAAAGTAATATTAGATTACAAAATATTTTTAATAATAGTCATACATACACAACATAGCCTAGGTATTTTTAAAAAAAAAACGCGGGCAGACGAGCAGCCGGGTCACCTAAATAAAAGCGACTACCGCCGCTCATGAACGCCTGCAACTCAGAAGTCAAAAGCGCGTTGCCCACCTTTGACGTTTAGGTTTTAGGTTTCCAAAACTTACAATAAAAGTACAGGGGGCAAACAAGCAGACTAGTCATCTGATAGTAACTACC